CATGAGATGGAAGGGCCGAGCATGGACCAGAGAACAGCAGAGATCCTGACCAGGGCTCAGATGGATGTGCATAAAGAAATCAGGGTCATTGGGCCAAAAAGAGGTTTATGTCACAGTTCTGATAAGACACCTGAAATACAGGGAGAAATGGTATGTGAAAACTGGCAAAATAGATCAAAAGAGAGCTCATCTGTACAGGGTTTGGATACAGATCCAAATGGTGTAGAAAAAGTTAAAATGGTGGGACAGCCACCTGCAGATTGCATGACACCAGGTGAAGTGGCATTTTGTGAGGTTCACGTGGGTGATGGCTGCCCTATGGTGTGTGTGCCCTCTGCAGACACTGTCCTAACTAATGCTGGAAAAGATATTGAGAGGTGTAATATTGACTGGAATATATCTGTTCATGGTAAACTGAATACGGTGGTGATGAGTCATACAGGTTTGATAGCTAAAGGTACAAGAAATCAGGGGGGTGGTCCTGGTACAAATACAGTAGAAATAGTTCCCCTACAGCCTTGGGACAGTAATACTGAGAGAGGTATTAGGAAACCTTGGAACCTGAAGCAAAGGGGCGGAAAGGTCAATAGAAAGGCCAGGGGGACCCTGTTAGGATTTCAAGAGAGAAAGTGTTTATGGAAGTGCACCCGGAAAAAGAGTAGGCAAGGTCTGATTAGAGCCCATAGCAGAGTGACAATGGGGCTTGGGGAGAGAGACCAAAGGAGTCATTGGGTAGAGTTCCCCTTTAGGAAAAGTATGGTTAGACCAGATTGGACCCCAGTAAGTGAGAGCTGGCACAGAGGTGCCAGAAGGTATAAGTTGTGTGTTCTGCCCCCTACGGGATCAAAACAAAGGGGGGGGATATGTGACAGTGTGGCGATCTGTCACCCTGGATTCTCAACAAGGCAGGTTGAGGGGCGCCAGGGTAAGTGTTTGATACGGAGGAAAGTGGCTTTTCACTTTCCTCCTTTAAGATCCATTTTGGGATCTGGAGCCTGGAGATTTCGAAGCGATTTGGGAGGGATGAAATCTCCAATCCTGGGACCAGGTTTTGGGAATGGCCAGGATACTGATTGCACAGGTGTGTGCGGGCCTTTTCATAGAGTCAGGACCAGGGTTCTGGGCTCCACCCCGGCAGATAGGAGTCAGGAGGCCTCCACCCGGCAGATAGGAGTCAGGTGGGCTTCGCCTAGGAGAGGTGGAAGCCAAAAGCAGCAAGGGGCTGCTAGAGACTAGCTGTGTGCTAGTGGCCAGCTGTGAGCAAGAGCCATAATTCTTGAAGAAGTCTGCAGGAGGCAGACATCAAGCTGAGTGTAAGCCAGGAGGCTGAATCATTGTTTTGTTTGATGGTGGATACCCCTGTGCGGGAAACCTTTATGTTATGGGACATTCTTTAAATAAAAGTGGGCTAAAAAGGCCCTGAAAAAGAAAGCGAGTAGCTGTGTGCATTTAAAAGCTCTACCACTTTGAAGCGAGTTCCCACAATATATATATTTGTGTGTGTGTGTATATATATGTGTATAAATAATTTTTTATGATGCATCTATATCCCATTTTAGAAATAGGGACAACAATCAGACTGGTACACAGTTTACAAAGATTTTATTGTATATTTGTGTTAGACTGCAATGCATGTGCATAGATAGTGATATTAATTGTTAGAGGAAGGAAATGTCAGCAATGACGCATTCTCCTGAGACAATAACTGACCAGAGCAGGTTCTGACTTCCTCTCCTTTTTAACAAGCCAGTGACGCACTGAAGAAGAATATATGATGAATGACTTGATGTCCAAGTATGAGATGTATTGATGCTGTTTGCTGAATTACACAAATATATGAGGAAACGCAGTTCTTACCTTGCCTTACTGAAATACCTCCTGTGTAGCTTGCAACAATGCATAACAGTCTTCAGTGTAATGCAGCATTTACAGTCTCACAGAGTGTCAATTTTCTATAGACCAAACTACCCCATTTGGCTTTGGGTGCACTGTGTGAGAGGTCACAACAACACTACTTGTAGCTATTTTTCAGTGTGCCAGTGCTGCTTAGGCTAGGTTTACACCTGCGTGTGAGCTTTTCATGTATTTTTTGGTGCATTTTGCAGCTCGTTTTTCAGTTCGTTTTTGATGCATTTTCATGCTTCATTTCTTTCTTTTTTTTTTTGTAGGTGGAGGAGACCTGTTAAACACACAACCCTACTAAAAACTCACATACCTACAGTTTTATGAAATTTGTATGCATTTCCGCCTCTTCCAAAATGCACTGCAGGAAACTGCATAAAAGAGGACCCATAGGAAACAGAGTTAAATCGATTGTTGTGCATTTCTGTGCTTCAGAAAACATGCTAAAAATGCAGAGGTGTGAACCTAGCCTAAGATAGGGGTTGCATACTATGCACTCTTTTATTACTACATAATCTTTTTTACATTTTATTACCAACAGAAGACTGAATAGCCTAATGTTCACAACAGAGACTTCTTCGGGATTGCCTTCTCTGTCTACTTTTGCTATGATAAACTTCACTCAAAATTCAAAACATATTACATGATATAATAGAAATTAAAGTGATTCTAAAGGCTTTTTTTTAAAATATCAAACATGTCATACTTACCTGCTCTGTGCAATGGTTTTGCACAGGGCAGCCCCGATCCTCTTCTTCTAGGCTCCTCCTCTTGTGGTCTTGGCCCCTCCCCCATGACCAGTGCACCCAATAGTAAGCCACTTGCTATGGAGGCATTGGTGCGTGCTCGCTCCCTAATCCCACTCTATGCGTCCATAAGACACATAGAGCCACGGCTCAGCCCTGCCCCCCGCTGTCTCCTCATTGGCTCACTGGCTGTGATTGACAGCAGTGGGAGCCAATGGCTTTTACTGCTGTGCCTCAACCAGTGAAGAGAGAGAGGCCTGGGACAGTCGAGGCTCCCATGCACATCGCTGGATCACCTGTTCAGGTGAGTATATGGGAGGGGCTGTGGAGAGACCTTCACACAGAATGTTTTTTATCTTCTTGCATAGAAAGGTAAAAAACCTTCAGCCTTTACAACCACTGTAAATTTGATCTCTGGGCACAGACATTTATTTAAATATATTCTTCATTAGCCAAATATATATATATATATTATCAATATATATAAGGATATACTGTAAATCCACTTTGTGTGCACCAATCCATTTGGAATCCCAGTTATTACCTTGTAAAAGTACATTGTGATAGTACCATCATCACTGTGCTGCACATAGCCTGTGCAGAGAACAGAGCCATGGGAGGGACCCAGCTGGTCCACCCAAGACAAACTGCCTGCAAAAAACTGCAGGAGGAGGTGGATACAAGACTATCCCTCCTCACAAGGTGTGAGAGCAGTATAACAGGATAGGTAATTGGCCAAATGATCAGATGGAGTAACTCTCATGCTGGTCATAACTGAATGGATTCTCCATCTGCACAAATGTGGAGGATTAAGGAATCCTTCCTGCTTTGTGTTGTTGTATTCTTACAGTGGGGACTGCTCCACTGTCAAAATAAACTGATAGAAGAAAAACAGTTCAAAAGAAGTAGATTAGGTCAACTTCTCAGAAACAGCCATAGATAACCTGCAGTTTACTAAACAGGTACAAAGTTACAATCAATAATTCAAGACAGGATCAGAATGGCAAAGAGCATGCGTACAGTGCAATAATATAAAACAGGTTATGAAAGCTGCACAAATATGGATTCTTCAAACCAATGTCTCTGTGGTTTAGTCATGGTAACATGTAGCTGTAAACAGGGTGTGAATATATGGGCCTGGGGCCAGTGGGGGGCCCCCTGAGAGGCTCCCAGTTCCTCTTTCAGCAGGGGGAATCTGACAGTCGGCGGTAATCGGTGTGGCCAGGGGTGGGTGAGGGGGCAGCAATTACAAGCACCGACCTCCCTTTATGGCTTTCCATGAACCATCTGAGAGCCACATCTTCCCTTCCTCCCCCCTTCCCCGGCTTTCAGTTGTTTCTAGGAAAGCAATACAGGGAGATCAGTGCTTGCAATTTCTCCCCCCCCACCATCGCACCGATCATCCCTGGCTGTCCACGGATGTCCCCTGCTATCCAGCCAGCTGCATGCTTCCCTGGCCCCCCCTCTTTCTCACTGCAATGCTGCCAGCTTCCCTCCTCTCCTACCGGCTTCTGCGGGGGATGTTGTGGCCTTTTCTTTTTATTAATGAACAGTGTCAGTGATCGACACAGGGGCCTCTGTTTCCTGTTCATCTGCAGTGCAACTGAGGCTACAGCAAAAGGCATTGGGGAATGCATCCTCTGTCCCTTTCTCTGTCTCAAAAGTGAGATTTCATGGGTCTGTAAAGACCCTGATATTTCACTAAAGCCCCCCAACAGGGCTGTTAAAAACTGTAATAAATAAAAAAAAAACTTGTAAAAATAAATCACAAAATTAAATTGTGAAAATTAATGAAAAAAACATTATAAAAAATAAATAAAAACTACTGACACCATCCACTGCTCTACTGACACCACCCACTGTCCCCCCACCCCCCAATAAGCACTGTGAAGATAATAAAAAATGAAATTGTAAGTAAAAAACTACTGACACTGTCCATTGCTCTACTGGCACTGTCCACTGCCCCCCCCCCCCCCCCCCCCCAAAGCGTTGTGATACAAATGTAAAAAATAAGAAACTGGCAACAAATAGTATAAAAATGTAAAAAATAATAAAAAAAACAAACTGGTTCTCATTCACATGGCTTTTCTTGCACACACATGAGTGAGTGGATGAGTGGTTTGTTTGTGCACCTGGAGCCGGCTGTTACTGTATGAACACAGCTGCAGGTCCCAATTTGACAGATATTTTTCTTTATTTTCTTAACCACCTCCCTCCCGACATATAAGGAAATGATGGGTGCAAGGTGGTTCTCTTGTTCTAGGAGAACGTCATATAACGTCTTCCTATTCTAACCACGCATGCGAGTCTCCGGGAGCACGCAGCGCGGTGATCGGCGGTGCGCTGTGTCACTCGGACACAGCGGATCACCGATCAATGGAAAGAGCTGAAGATTTCGGCTCGGTCATGTGATCAGGTGTGTCCAATCACAGCTGATCTCATGTAAATAGGGAAATGCCGGTTATTGGCATTTCTCTTCTCACAAGCTGTCACGCTGACAGAGGAAAGGAGAGCCGGTAATCGGCGTTCCTCGGAGGGTACATGTACACTGATCATCAGGGCACTGATGATCAGTGTGCCCTGATGATCAGTGTAGCCCCAGCAGTGCCACCTGTCAGTGTCCATCAATGCCAGCTGTCAGTGCTCATCAGTGCCACCTGCCAGTGCCACATCAATGCCACATATCAGTGCTCATCTCAGCTGCCTTTCAGTGTCACCTATCAGTGCCAGTTAGTGCCACCTATCAATGCCAGTCTGTGCCACCTATCAGTGCTGCCAATTAGTGCCGCCTATCAGTGCAGCCTATCAGTGCCAGTCACTGCCGACTATCCGTGCACATCAGTGCCGCCTATCAGTCCCGCTAACACTGCCAGTCAGTGCCACCTAACAGTGCCAGTCAGTACTGCCTATCAGTGGCAGTCAGTACCGCCTATCAGTGCCACCTATCAGTGCCGCCTATCAGTGCCATACATGAGTGCTGCCTTTCAGTGCCCATCAGTGATGCCTGTCAATGCCCATCAGTGCCACTTACCAGTGCCTCCTCATCAGTGCCCATCAGTGCCACCTCTCAGTACCCATCAGTGCAGCCTCATTAGCGCATATCAGTGAAGGCGAAAAATCACTTATTTACAAAATTTTAAAACAAAAACTAAAGAAAAAACTATTTTTCAAAATTTATGTTGTTTTTGGTTTGTTTAGCAAAAAATAAAAAACCCAGAGGTGATTAAATACCACCAAAAGAAAGCTCTATCTGTCTCAAAAAAATGGGTACAGTGTTGCATGACTGCGCAATTGTCATTCAAAGTGCAACAGCACTGAAAGCTGAACATTGGCCTAGGCAGGAAGGGGGTATAAGTGCCCAGTAGGCAAGTGGTTAACTTACTAAACATTTATTTTTAACATAGTGTAGAAAAATTCTCTGACAAATGCATGGTATGTGGGCAGTGCAATATGTAGGTGGGGCTTTATGTGGGTGTGGCTTGAGTGTGGGCAGGGACACAGGAGACCCCATGATCTCATATTGCCCAAGAGCCCCATGAGTTG